TTATCAACCTGATCAGGCCTGAAATCACCTAGGCAACAAGCCTTGAACCACACTAATCAGGGCTTACGTAGGGTGAGGTTAGCCTCTGAATATGACTGTAAAAGATGCTTTTGATACTAGGTTAGATGAGGTAGAAAGACTGAACCCAGATGTCTGTTCTATTCCTTAGGCTTCCATCCTGAACTGCACAAACACAGAAGGCTAGCTGGGTAGAAGCAACTATTTCTTACTGCCTCTTGACTACAGTCATAATGCTTCACCCTGCAGACTCCCCTGGAACTATACGCCAAAATAACTCTTTCTCCTTAAAGTTGCTCTTGTCAGATACTGAATCATACTACAGTACTTACAGTTAAAGGGGAAGCAATTAATACACACCATGAACAGGTGGGGATCAAATCTTTCCCTGGATAGTGAATATAAGCTATGAACAAGCAGGGATCACATCTTTTCCTGGCTAGTGTTTGTTCTGTTTTAAATCTGGCACATAATGAATCCTCTGCAAATAATTTTTAAAATAGTAACCACAGTTGGACAAATTTTAACTATATCCTTTTGCATAATTACTTCTTTGTTTTGTTTTTTTTTTAGCAAAGTTCCAGTTTGGGGGACTGAAGAACCTCTGGTAATAATTGTCATTTTGAAGTATTATCCATTATTATTTTTTAAGAAGACAACGAAAAAGGTGAAAAGAGAAACTTCTAGAGTCAGTAGGAAGGGGAAAAAAAAAACCCTGCTTTTCATTACAACACAAAGACCCAAAATCTCAAGTGCTTAAGATTGTGTTTTTAAAGGTCTTATCTGGAACTGGACAATTTAAACCACATTGATCTTGGCCTGGAGTACAAACCACACCATGGGATTCTTACAATTCTTCCAGAAACCTGTCTGCTAAGTGACACAGTTTCCTCTAGAGCTGAGGTGCACTCCTTTGAGCTTGCATCCAAAACACTTACAATTTTAAAGTCCAGTGCCAGTTGAAAATTGTTACTGTCTCCCCCCCACACACACAAACTCACACACTTTTTTAAAAAAAAACCTGTCAATGCTAGAGGAAAAAAAGCAATCTGTTTGGCTTCTAAACTTTAAAAGTGTGTGTGTGTGTGTGTGTGTGTGTGTGTGTGTGTGAGAGAGAGAGAGAGAGAGAGAGAGAGAGAGAGAGAGAGAGAGAGAGA